TCCTTTTAGCTGTACAATCTTGATACAAAAACTCTTTGGATATATTCATCATGGTATTCCACTTGTCAGTACAAATACATATTATATGGCATCTAATTGATTTTAAATTTGCCACTCCAGGGTTTTTCAGATATAATTGAAGTAGCCAAAGCAGAAAGCGTTACTTGTACTTGTAGAAGTCTACAAGAAAGTAGTTGTAGAAACCATGGAGATCACCCTGGGGAAGCCAAGCAGAGGCAGCGAGAGTTACATAAACAAAAGCATACTTTAAGCCCAGACAATAAAAAACATAAGAAAAAAGTTCAGATTGACTCCTCCCTAATTCACTATAGTATAAGGGGGAAGGAGGAGAGAACTCGGCCTTTCAAGATTCTGTTACGATAGCCTATATCAATAAAGTATAGTTCCAGTCTGATTTGTGAAATCTGTTTCCTGATCTGACTTCAAAGGGCTGACAGTATTGCTTCATATAGACTCATAATTTTAATGCGAATCCATTTATTGGACGTTTTAGGTGGTGGCTATTCCAATGCAAAAATAGTCTACTGAGCTTTGTTGATGTGATAAAGGCACATGTTTGATACAGCTCAGTACCTTTTAGACCACAGGTGAATGCATGAAATAATGGAATCAATGCTCCATTTTTCACAAAAGAATAGGATATTCCTAAATAATAAACTTAATGAACTTCCAAATTCAACCATGTAGTTGATCTTTCACCTGAATGCATATCTATTTTTCCTTTCTATCTTATCAAAGAACTGAAATACAGTTGTAAAATTTAGGAAAGTCTGGAACAATTTCAGTCACAAGATTGCCTATAACTTACAATGACTCCATGGCCTACAGGCATTATCTAACCAATTGAAGTTCAGAACTCAAATATTATTCAATTCTGAGTATGGAAGAAGATTCTTTTTTCCCTGCACAGAGGTAGAAAAAGACTGAAGTGAGGGGGGCTTGGCTCAGGAAATGGGATGTGGGGAGGGGTTCTTCCTAAAGCCCACCCATGGTGTCATGTGATTGGCTGTTCAGTCCTTGAGCCAAATTTGGATTCCCAGCCAGAATGGACAATATAGATGCTACAACCTAAATTTAGATGGACTCCTAAATATTTTATCATCTTGGGAAAAAATTGTCTGAGCTAGTTCTAGCTTGTTTTCCATACAATTATAAAATTCTTTAAATTTTTGATAACATAAAAAAGTTATTTATGCAGTCTGTTTTACCATTACTCAAAGTAGCTAGGCAATGTTGTTTTTCTCTTGACTTGTGAAACAGAATAAAAAAAAATTACAGGCAACCCAGAAATAAAGAACCAGACATATGGGAAGCTGAATTAACCTAAAGTATAGTATTTGTCAAGCCAAATACTGTGCACTAACTGGCGGTAGCTATCTAATGTTTCAGGTGGCAATTTCCCAGCTGTATCTAGAGTACCTTGGTGGAACTTAAAATGTCTAGAGTTGCAGTTCAGCATTAGCTTTTGAGGGGCATCCAAAGCCCAGCTTATGTACATTGAAGAAGGCATTATCATATACAAATAGCAAAAAAATAAAAATAAAAACAGTGGCTGCTGCTAAACCACTGAATAACGTTTTATGGACCATGGAGACTAACACTGTTCTTACTGGAGTGCATGTTGCATGGTGATATTTCTTTTCATGTCCATTGAAAATGCAGCCCTAAATGATAGTTTGATTGGAAATATTCATCAATAGCATTTCATATCCATTATTTCTCATATCTTGTTGAATATTTTCTTAGGGCTCTTTTAGTAAAGTTCATTGCTGAAACTTATACTGTAGGTGATTTATTAATTTGTAATTTTTGTGCAACAGAATGGAATACCAAAGACTTGGGAGTAAATAATATTTATTTAAACTGTAGTTCCTGAAGGCTCCTGCTATGTCACAAAAAACCAGACTAAGTAGCAGGAAACCTAAGTTGACTTTTTCCCAAAGACTATCCAATGTAAGAGTTATTCCATTTTGATAATTTTTATTTCTCTTCTGTGGAATGTATTTTTAAAAAACCTGGTGTTACAACAGTTTATTGTGGTATAAAATTTGTATTTAACACCCCCATTATATAAATACACATATACATTTTTTTCTAAAAAGTTTTGAAAAATGATAATGATAAAATATACACTAGCATTAAATAAATTCTCCATTCTTGCATTTGCATGTGTAGAGATTAACATTATATTGCATAAGTCTTTTAAAAATGTAAAATATTTTAAAGAAAGGCACTAAATAACACAACTCTATATGTTTAAGATGCTTAATATGCTCTAGGGCACCACAGATACCTTTTACACAAACTGTTTATAATAAACAAATTATGCTCTTATTTCTTGGTTAGAATGTTTGAAACCTTTTTTCTGATTCTGACCCGAGTTTTATGGATATGGAGTAATGCAACAAGTTGAGAGTCATGGTCTTTAAAAAATTCAGTTATAGTTCTAGAAATACGGCTATCCATTTTAAAGGATTGGGATGCAATGTGTTATTCAGTTGTAGATGATTCTTTACAATGTATCATTGATATTCAGTTATTAATTTATTGTACTGAAATATGATAAACTCTTCTAAGGATTAGGATAGTAGTAGATAGATTACTGTTTTTGGAATTATGTATGTTCAGCAGTATGAAACTTAAGGGTATGTATTGCAGGTGTTTCTGTAGTATAATTTGGTTGACAGTTTTGAAATTGTTCTTAATCTCCTGTAAAATTTTAATGGAACTGAAGTAGATCATTTGAATCTATTTCCCAAATGCAATTTTTATGGAAGAGCCAGTTAACACATAAAGGAAGCCAACAATCCTTTGTCTCGTTTTCTTCTGTAAGGAGAAAAAATTAAAAACTTGAAAGAGTTCTTCACAAGAATCAGGGGAAAGATTTAAAGGTTTAGAAGTTCTACAGTGCAGAAAGAATGGTCAGATAATTAGGTGTATGAACCAAGGAGGAGTATAAAACTATGAAAGGAATATTTATGAAACTTTTATGGACCTCTTACGGTCATTTAAATATTGCTTCAATTTTATGAGCAATGTGAACTTAGCAAATTTGATTCTTTTTTGCTGGAATATTCTTTGCATCTGAAATGTTGTTATTTGGATAAGGAACGGAGTTATAGAAGGATGTTAAGAAACCAATATTAATAATTAAACATTAATCTGTGGCTTTATTGTTCATCAATAGATTGCTGTTAGTCATATTTTACATGCAGTTTTTTCTGTTGGCACTAATATTGTTTTTTAAGATGATTGTTTTGAAAATCAAGATTTCTTTTTCATACAGAATACTGTGTATTGTAGAAATTTATTTTTATTTATTATTATTTTACAATAGCATTTTTATTCATATGAAATTAATAAATGAACACAGAATAATGATATTTCAGGGCACAAATGCAGAGTGCAAGACTGAGCCTGTCCTGTAAAGTTACATAGAAAAATGGAATATAAATTGAATAAATAAATAACTAGAAAGTTACACTTTTAGAGATTGCTGCATGTTCATTTTGAGAATACTTCATTCTTATTTTATGTGATTTTATGGTATCTTCAAAGTGAACACCTGTGCATATTTATTACTTCCATCACAGTGTGATTGTTGCATTGTAAAATTTATGAAGGGTTCATATCACACTTGAAATCACATTACTTCTTTCAATATAAATAGATATGCCCCTCATTAATTTACCAAGAAGATTGATTTAATTCAGTAGAATTTAGCCCAACTGTAACATATATAATTTCTGACTTCCTCTTAAAATGTGCTAATATTGCAATCATAATACTGTATGCTAAATGTGCTGATACTGCAGTCATAATCATGACTTCCAAGATTGTACATAATCTTATTGTGTGTGATTCCTGCAGTTACCTGTAAGGTAGATTGTTATTGCTTATGCTGTAAACAATAAAACCAACTAAAGTTAAATAATTAAGGCTACATAACTATGACTAAGTCAGAATTGAAATTAGGCTTGGATCTATAGAATCTATAGGATTCTATATATATATATATATAGAGAGAGAGAGAGAGAGAGAGAGAGAGAG